CTATCGTATGTATCGGCTTGGCTTCATACCGAACCAAGGAGGCATTCTAGCGGGCGCGTGTGTGTAGGAAGGCCGACGACTATATAAGCTAAAAGACTACGACTACAAGCCAAGCCGGAAGCTACTCGCTTCTATTCTCGTTGGGATTGGATATGGATGGGGAATCTATAAATCGTAGTAGCTCTCTAACTAACATACGATCAATTGACTTCGGCACGGAACGCCAAGAGGAGCTTCGCTCGGTTGGCCTTCCTACGCTGACGACTGCCTCTTTTTCTCTCCTGAAGTCTACAAAAACAGTGGGGAGAGGCAGATCGAAGCCTATGTAGAAAAACTTCAATAGATTTACAGTCTGTCGCTTTTGACCACTCGCCACTCTCCCCCTTCCCGGGGCCGAGGCCCCCCTCGAGCTTCTTCGGGCGAAGCTGCGAGTTCATGAGCAAGTGAATGAACGAGCCATTTCCTAAAAGGAGTGACCATCTTTCTTTTCTTCCCTTTCCCCCTATCCCTTAAAAGCCCGGTTGGGCGCTAGCGCTTGACTAATAGAAAGTCAGGCTCTTCTGCTAGAGAAGCTGCGAGCCTACCCTTCTCGAGCCTACACAATAGCTTACGCTTACCAAGCCTCAAAATAGGGCTACAGCAAGCAAAGCAAGCTTTCCCCCTTCGTTTGTTGTGGGTCGCGCCTCACCGCAGGCACTGAATGAATGAAATGAGTGGAGATCTTCCTTCCCCCTTGCTAATTACCAAGAACTTTGTTGCCACTAGTGGCGAAGAATAATTTCACCATTAAAAAAAGACACCGGAGCCTAAAGTAAGTCTACAAGAAGCTGGCAGAGCTTTAGCCATTGGACCACATCGATCTATCCTACCAAACAGTAAGCCTTTTCTTGTTCGTTCTTCGAATTAGGCTAGTGGGGACTAATCCTTCCGCTTCGAATCTGAATTAAGAGACTACTCCAGTCTTCCCATTCATTCCCTCCTCTCTTCTCCCTAAGAATTGAACGAACCAAGTTCACCTATTCGAGATGAGGAAGAAAACCAACAAGAAACTTCCCACTTTTTATGTCCTGCGATTCTGCTAGGAGAACTAGGAGAAGGACAGGGGGCGCTAGGTCAGAAAAGCGAGAACTCTAAACTCCCCAAGTAGGGATTTGAACCTACGACCAGTCAGTTACAGCAGCCGACCGCTCTACCACGGAGCTACTGAGGAACAACGGACTTAAGGAAGCCGACTCTCATTCTTTGGACCAACCTATGACCGAACAAAAAGGATTCGTCACCCCACATACACCGGGAAAAAGGTTACGATAGCAAGCCCCTCCCCGGCCGGAGAGCCTCCAGGACAAGGAGGCGGCGATCAACCATCCACTCTCGAGATTCGTATGGATCAATCGATCTTCGCGTCCTGACAGTTCACTAAGTAGACTCACTCTACCCAGGGCAACAAAGGCTGAAACTCTTCCTGCCAAAAACAAGGGACCCACTTCTCATCCTAGGAGTTAGCAGGTAGGAAATAGTCCCATCGTCTCCTCTCCGTCTCTCCGAGTTTCTACTACTAAGTAGCACTTCTGCTATTCAATCATAGAATCGATCCTGAAAAAGCCCTATCTTATTACTAAAGCGCTATCTATAGGCATTCTTGCTCGTTAGCGCTTTAGTTTGATTGCAGCTAGCGCGCCCCTTTTCTTTCCACTTTCTCTTAGTCAAGCTTTGAAGCCCCTACTGGGATGGGATCCTTGAAGAAGCGCAGGTTGGAACCCTATATACAAGGGGCGGGTCTCGATCCCGCTTGGTGGTGCCCCTCTGGATTATTGTTGACTCAACATTGATTTCGTGCTTGAGTTGGAGGGCTCTACCTCCTCCATCGAGTCAAGTATTCGCTATCGGAAATTCTTCCGCCGCCTATCTCATGCTTCTTCTTTCTCCGAATCGTTCCTAGTGTCAGTCAATCAAGATTCGCCATCAAGGGGGGAGGACCCCTTTAGGTTAGGCCGGTCTCGTCATTCACTCAATTCCCCGTCCATCGATTGATCACGCGAGTACGCATCCAGTCAGCGCATAGCGAATGAAAAAAGCGTTCATCCTGGATTCTCCTTCCTAAAAAAATCTCTATCAATTGATGCCCTAGTCATTCGGTCAAAGTCTCCACGGCCTTTTCACCGCCCCTCTAACCATGTTGATAGGAATCGGCAAAGACCTTCTTGTACAACGTCCTCGAGGGGCTGCATTCATGGCAATCATCACTAGTTTTCTCCTGAGGGCATGGTATGGCTTTGTTCTTGGTCTTGTTTAATAGATGTCGAGTGCCGCTTTTTCCCCGTCCGAGAATCTCCATCTGCTCTAAGTGGGCGAGCTAGAATCCTTATGTCAGGTTGGTTGTTCAAAGACTTTCTCTTTACCGAACCCTTTGCATATTCATCTTTTCGAAAGCCCAGACCCATTCTTCTGGATCTGCATTAGTCCGATTCCGGGTGCAAAGCCTCTTCAATAAAGACCTCTTTCTTTCTCCCCCCATTTCTTATTTTGTTGATTGAAAGAGATAAGCGCTATCCATTGAGTAAAGTCAAGGGAGGGTTTGCTACAGTGATTCGGGTGGTTGGTGGCCCCTTCGAGAGTTGCGGGTCCTTGTTGCTGCATGAGTGGTAGCTCACGCTCAAAAGTCCTCCGACACGAGTCCTAGTCGTTGCGCTGCGGTCCGTTTCCCGGCTTCGCTTGCGCGATTTTCACTTCTGATTGGTTCCATCCATCCCCAACCCTAATGAATCGAGTATGAAGGGGTCAAGCGGTTCGGGTTTTCGGTCGGTTCCCGTTCACCTCCCCCCTCAGAGTCCATTAGTGGGTAGGGTGGTAAACTTAGAGGCCGCCAGCCTCCTCTTCAGACGTGTCCTCGACAACCTGGCGGTTCTTCGGTCTCCGCTTTTGGGGGCAGGAGTGTTTGGTCGCTGGGCTTTCCTTTTCCTCAACCAATTCGGTTGTGTCAGCCGGTCTAACATTTTGTTATGGGCTGGCTTGGCTGGACAACGATGGATTGAAGGTAAGATAGATTTGAGTTCAAGTGGCACAGGACCTTCGATCTACCATAGGGTAGAATACTACCGAATTCATTCTATTGAAGCGTAACATTTCATTTCCTGTTGCATTTCTTTGGTTTGGAAGTTCCAGAATGTTGTCTGTGGATTTCTAGCCCCCTATATTATATGCCAAAAGATTGATTCAAGTTCCGTGCTGCTCACCACTCCTCGAGGCCAAGGACGGGGTCGAACCGTCATTCCAGGATTTGCAGTCCGATACATTTCCATTATGTTACCTAGCCAAACCCGCCACCTCATGTGCCAAAGTAAAACGGTTGTTCTTCCTTCCCCGCTCCCTCTTTTTCGACATATGCGGCGGCGGGTTACCAGATAAGAGGGGACAACTTCTTTCTCCTTTGCATTGCTCAATCTTCCTTTTCTGATTGAAAATAGCAAGCCACTCCACTACTGGTACAGAGGCCAGATAGAAGGTTGCTTATATGTTCAGGCTCGAAAATCTATCTTTTACCTCTCCTCCCTGTCTCCATTCTGATTGATTCGCTTCTTCCTTCGCACAAGCCTTTGGTTCGCTCCTTGTTGTGTTGCATTTTCTGCTCCTCCGCTTCAGTCTGCCTTCTTCGGATAGCCGGGGTCCGACGTTGATTTCCGATTTCAATGTCAGCTCCAGGTTTTGGGCGGCCCATCTGGTTAGTTCAGCTATCACTGCTGGAAGCCCCTGCGGTTGTTCGGCTGCGTACTCCCCGTCCGCCTATCTCACACTCCCAAAGCATCTTTTTATTTCATATTTCATTTTCCTTCGCCCCCTTTCAAGCGCCCTTAGACTCGTTACGTTGTTCGACTGAACTCGTTGGCTCCGCGCTCTATTCGGTCGGAACCCGGTTCGTCGAGAACCTTCTCTCATAGATTCCTTTCACCAAGTCATCGCCAGCAATCCGCTCTTATCCCTTGGTGTCAAAGGGCGAGTTCCTTTCTTGTCTTGCCCAAAAACTTTCTTTATTCTCATTGGAGAAAGACTCTCCCTCTACTTTCTTTGACAAGGGCGGAGAATACCACTCTATCAATAACAAGAAAAAAGTAGCAATTCCGTTTCAAATGGTTTGAGCTTGGAAGCAACCTGCTATCTATCGATAGGCGAGAACAGACTGCTATTGGTTGCTTCGCCTATCGATTCTATTATGGCCGGCTTGGATACATCAGAGGAAGACTAGCATCTCTATCCGGGTACGATCATAGCATAGCTTCATTCATTCGTTGAACCTTGGGGATAACCATTAGCATTGAGGTCAATCACCACACCACCTCTATCATACATACGACATTACACGACGCGAGAGTGCATGGCCAACACACACCTAAAGCGCCTACGTTCCGCTTGCAGCCAATACAACCACAACCTAACTTGCACGAGATTCAACAACCGAAGTTACTGGTAGTCCCGTGGGGACGGAATCCTCCAATAAGAGTTAGCAGTACTGAACAAGCGAGTCATCGGTCCGGGGAAAGAAAAGGACTGCCTTTGAAAAAAGAAAAAAAGGAACTCGCTTAACTCGCTAGGCCTTCGGAACAAAGGCGATTCTGTTCATGCTTCAGACGATTTGGCTAATTATATAGACTTCTATACTAATTATATTAGACTTCTTCTATTATAAATAGAAAGGCGAACCTATAGGCCTGTTTAGCGCCTTTCCAAAGTAAACCTAAAAAAAACCTTTGCTTTGGGAAGTCAGGACCGAGTGAAAAATGAAAAACGTCCGCTAACGCCCACGGGAGAAGATCTTTTTTAGATCAGCAACGAATGTCTTGTATCTATGAAGAAAGATTTATCCCTGGGTTAAGACCCTGAATGCCATACCTTGCTGAAGGCGATTCACGAGAGAATCGCGCACAGTTCCCTTTGACCGAGATGTGAATGCCCATGATTTGCTCGGTATAGTGATGGATTTCATGGCCGACGTCTAACCGGCACGAATACGCTATCCTAGATGGAAACGACTTCCCCGCGGAGCATTTTCTCTTTCGTCCTCGGACGTTCGGACCTTTTGTTTGATTCGGCACTTGCGTTCTCATGCCCGGAACCCTCGCGACTGATTGGGAGAAAGAGCAAAAGCGAGAAAGATGGATTGTTATCCATCGGAAATCGATAGGAATTCCACGGGGATTGCCTTCTCTTCTAATATCTATATATGTTTTTATTTCATTATTAACATCCAATCCCATGCTAATAAGAAAAACGAGCGATTGCTAGTCAGCTTTCATTTTCTTAAAAAAAATGGTAGGGACTAAGGCTCTGAAGGCTTTACAACTTTCTTCAATTAGGGAATAGCGCAGATGGATCAATCACACGGTTCTGCAGCGTCCTCCAACTCGCTGTCCGCGCCCCTTCACTTTCTTTGCTGGACGGGAAGATGCGAATCGTGAAGGCCTTCCCACCACGCGAAGTTCAAACCTCGCTGGAGAGGAATTGAAAACCGGAAAAAAGCCCTTCGCAATCGAAGGTGAAAGCGGGAAAAAGACGACGAAAGCCTTTTTTCTTTCTTTTTCAGCCGACTTGAAAGGTGCTCTCAGTGTACCGCCATACGCACCCAGACATTAGACCAAGCAGGAACCGGGGATCAAAGTTCCATTGATTCATCTATCTCAAATAGGGAAAAAATGGAATCAAGAAGGGGTCAGCTGAGCTCGAAAGGGGTAGCCGGTCGTCGGCTAGGAGCTCTGGCCGGCAACGAAACTAAAGCTTCACACTGGTCCACTCGTCCATCGGCTAAGTTCCAACTCTATGTTGATAAGAAAAAAGAAATCCCCTAAGAAGAGGACTCTCAACTATTCCAAAAGAAAGGGGCAATTAAAATGCTTCATAGATAACCCCTTATGTCTCTTCCCGTCCAACTCACCGGGAGATCGAAGAGCGGTTTGCGCTTCGCGCCCCAACCCCCTTAACTAATGGATGCTTAGATACCTGCAACTGAATCTGTAAGCGGCGCAGGGCAGGATGGACGAGAAAAGCGGCGAGAAGAAGACAAAGAGAGGGAGACCCCTTTCTATTGCCTTCCCTTTCGACTTCTAGACTGGTTCGTCGGTGGGACAGCGAGCCAAGATCCGATTCGTCAATCGGCGAATCCATGCCGCGTAACCTGGTAAAGGGGAAAGAGACGATGGCAACGCACCTCATACAAGAGGGGGGGAGTCCGAACAGCCTTGTACGTACGCCGCTCACGCGAAGAAGTTATTCTCTAATTCCAAAAAGTAAAGCCTTATTTGATTTGCTGACAGTTGCCCCTGATTATCTTGTTCATTCCTTCATGCCGGGTCTCTCATCCATGCATGATCGGCAATGCCTCACCTTCTCCTTCGATTCCAACTAGGCAAACAGAACTCCCGGAACTTCCTTTCTTGATTCACCCAGAACGGAACTTGCTCTAATCCCGATCCACATTCCATAGCTTCTGCTTTCGCTCCGCACCTTTATAAAGTCGTTTTTAAGCCGCTAAGTGCACTAGCGGACTTCCCCTATGAGATTGACCCTGCTGGGATCACTGAATCTTCTTCCATATCATCCCATCGCTTCATGCCTTCGACTAAGACCTATCTGCTTCATTCCCGAGTTTCACTTCACTTGGACACAACCAAAGAGGACCAAAGGGGAGAGGGCATTACTGAAAGTCCGAGAATAAACTTTTCCTTATAATAGAAAAACCTCTCTTTCCTCCTATGGGTGAATTGGACCAAGGTCAGTGCTTTCGACTTCCCTTGAAAGGACAGTTTACTTTATTGCGTACTTCTTTCCACCCTGAGAAGGAGATCCTTTGAAAAGTGCCTAGAAACTCTTCTTCATACGCTTATTCTCTGACCGTACCATGCAACAAGAGTTCAAACCTATTCTTTCTAACGCAACGAGCTTATTGAATGCCAACAAATAGAAAGCCAAAAGCTCTAGTCCCATCTCTTTCTGTTATGGAATTGGATAGTGACTCATATGAAATAGCAGCGGATTCAATAGCATCGGCGAGAGAGAGAGAATTCCTATTGAGGGGAATAGGATATTCTAGAAAGGAATACATCATTCTCGAAAAGGTCGAAGGAAGCTCCAAGCAAGAGATATTATTCACTAAAAGCAGCTACCGGGTGAGAATAAACAACTACCATTTAAGCTGACAGCTAGACGGATTCACCACTACTTATGACTTCTTACTCCTGCTCCTAGACAAACTAAGAAGCAAGGAAAGAAGTAGCTCAAGGATAATGCGCGAGTCACTCGTAAGTTAGTTAATAAGGCACGTTAGGAGGTGAGCTAGCAGAACCAGGGGAAAGGAATGTGTCACTTGTTGATTAGCAAGAATCTCTGACGGCTAGCTTCCCTTGTATCTTCTCCCATGCATCAACCATGAATCACTACTCTCTAATGCTCTCTTCACTGACATTTCCTGTTCTTAGCTCGGATTAGCAGGCTTGAATCATTCAATCATATAATCATGCCTCCAGAGTGACTTAATTTCACATTCTGAATATTGGATTACCTGTTAGCTACAACTCACATCTGCTGTTAGCTTCTTTAAGTCTTCTCTTTAAGTCCGATTGCCTTCTCAATCCTAATAAATGACGGGATGAGTTAAAGCACTATCAGACTGAATACCTTTTCTTATGAGTCTTCCATGAACTCAATACCAATTGTACTTATCCTTATCTGGTATGCCTTCGGCTTCCTCAGGGGCTACTACTTCCTGGGAAACCTTTGGCTAGGATCCTAGAAGCAACTTCGTCAACACCGTCTCAGTCTGTGATAGAAAAAGGAAAGGAAGCGGGGAAGAGTTTAGCAGCAGGAAACTAGGGCTAACTCGGGATGTTAGAAAGGCCCTCTCTAAGATAGCACACCCTGATGCCTAACATCCTACTGCTGGAATCCATTCCACCTGTCCTAATCTATTCTTACCTTCAAAGAACAACAGCATAGTAAGATAGGTTGAAGCTGTTGGGGAGATAGAGGCTAAGACTACTCAATCTTTATCCTCATTGGACTCAAGGAAAAGGAGCTAACCCGGATGCAAATCCTAGAAAACTAACTAACCTCGGTAAAGGAAGCCAACTTCCGAAACTGCAGGAGAATTGGGACCCTTGCTTCGCTTCGCACCTCGTCATAGCCTTGAAAAGCTCACTCGGAGTTATAGTTAGAGAATGGGATATGATTAACTACTTGCCTACTGCTACCTGGGAGTCTTTCCTCGGGAGATCGAAGAAGGTATACTATTAGACAAGGTTCATTCCTGCTTAGCTGCTTTGCTGCTCTTCTTCTTTATCAAAGATAGCTATTCCTCTGCTTTGATGCTTTCTGTACCTTTATGGGACTTACAGTAGAATAAAGGTCCCGGACCTCATCCACGAGACTAACCAGGAGAGAACACAGGGTCAAGCCAAGCCCTTACCCGCCTGAATGGAATTCATATCTCCTTCGTCTGGTCGAGAAGGGAGAAAGCCAGTGGAACTGGACTGTGACTCTTCTATTACATTATGGAGAAGTCCATTCTCGTCATGGTCGATCCACGTCCTACCGTAGTGCCCGGAGAACCAGGCTTGCTTAGCTTACAAAGCTAGCTTACTAACGCGAATCCTTTTTTATTGATTGCACGAGCTAGCCAGCAAGCCAGCAAAGCCCCCGACGCTTAATCGCTTCATTTAGGCACCTACTGACACTAAAGTCGTTCCACTCGTGCTTCTCTAACGAGAATCACTTCGTTCCACTCTCCCAACAGGCCAGCAAGCCATTCCTAGCGGCTTAGCCCTTGTTAAAGGCTAAAGAGCGTACTGAACACTCACCCTTTCTCGCCAGCAAGCTAAGCTCCTAGTCCTCTTAGCCGGCTTACCTTTAACCTAACTCTCTAGTTTATGGCCGAAAAACACGGGAAAACACTACTTTTTGATCAAAAAAAAGAAGGCCATTTAAAAGCTCTTTTCTTGTGTTCTTGAGTACACGTTAGGATATTACTTCAGGGGCTATCCAAGCCATTGAGGAGCCTGCTCAAGCTGCTGAGGATGATGAATGATCCTAGAGGCTCTTCTTCCGTATGAGATCTTATAACCGGGAAGCGTAGGTAGAACTTGTGGAAGGAAGACACTGGCGAGTAGACCTGTGAGAGCCCCCCATCAAAGGTTGATATCTTACCTTTCAAAGCGGGTATAAGAATGGGAAGTCGGGATATCCCAATCTTCCAGCTCTCAAGAAGTTCAGAAGATTCATCCCTCATTCAATCCCTTTTGCTCCTGCTTTCATCTACCCCTATGCTTCTGCTTTCTTCGTCTATGCCTATGCCTCCAGGGATGGATCCAATTTCCTGTCCTTTTTTGGAATCGTTGATACATATGTTATGTTACGATGGCTTCGGATGAGAGAGGGTGGTCGTAGATCATAGTTCTGTAGCGAAGCTAGGTTGTTGAGTTTGAGCTATGAGTTCTGACCTGAGCTAGTCTTTCAGATTAGGCAGGGAACATGAGGGACAGTTCCTCACTACCGAAATTCCCTTACAGTTCTAGAAGGTAAGAGAAGCTAGGGCTTTTGAGTTCCAGTAATCAAGCCAAACTGGAGTTCTGGAGAGAAGGCAGTGAACGGAGTTGGCGGTTCGAGTTCTTGGCAGGACGGATGGGACCCAGAGTTAACAAGTAGCTTGGCTCAACCTTCGCTTTCCTTTGACAAGGCAGCTAAGGCTCCAGCTTCGCTTTCTACTTCGCTGCCTTTTTCTAACGAGACAAGTAAAGTACCTTAATTCACTTACAGCAAGATAAGGTATTTCAAGCGGGTGAAAGTATAGAGCTACTAACCAGAGTCAGAAAAGTTGGTTGGCATTCAAGCAAGAGAGAAAGAAGTCCCGATCAGGCTACAAGTGGGACTAGAAGCGAGGGCCGCTATTCCAGTCAGCTTGTTAGAAAGGGAACTAGCACCCTAAAGACAGCTACTCTCGCTTTCTAACAGTAAACTAAACTGCCTTCCGGTCGCCTCACCAACGCCTTCTCTCCCTATCGGTCGAACTTTTCCATCCGGGAAAAGGGATCGATTACCTTTCTTAGCTAGGAGAAAGTCACTGTCATCGCTCTCTCCTTGAATCGCTCGGAAATCGTACCTAGCCTCTCGTCCATAACCTAGCCCGAAGCTCTCAAGCGACTGATTTCACACAAGTAGTAGGACCTTCTTGTATAGTGGAGTTAGAATAGGCTCTAGAATAGTCGAATTAATGGTCAGTCTCGCTCTCCACCCTGCTGCTAGATGGGATAGGGCTTTTCACATGCTTGAGATAAGACAGATATTTTTTAGGCATTAAAGAGGCCGAGAGAAAAGTCTCATTTTTACATAGATGAGCAGCAACTTTATAAATTCATGCTCAAGTTTGTCACTTAGAAGATAGGATGGTATCGACCCGGACAAGGGGGCAAGATCCGCTGGCTTAGGGCCCTTTTAGTAGGGAGCAGAATCGGTAGGTTCCTTTCCGCCCATCGATTCAATAAGATCAGTTCAATCAGTAAAGGTCGAATTGAAATCTATTATTATCATAGACAAGACAAGGGAAGATGCCCCCCAATAGAAGGCAATTTTTTAATGTACCAGAGAATAGGCAGGTTTAGAGTTAGAGGAATATCAAGAATTGGAATATCAGTCAGAAATTGAATAAGAGAAGCAAAGACGGGTTATAGTATAGTAGAATCAGTAATCATCTAGCGGGGACGGTTTCACTTATAGGTCAAGGGTCTCGCCCATCTCTATTCGCCTATCCTCTTCCTAGATCGAAGCTTTCCTTGGCTTCGAAGCCTATCTCCACCATGACCTCTTTCTCCTAGCTCTAGCTGTCGAAATAAACCGCCTCTCCCTCTGTCCTAGTCAATTCATTCTTTCTTGGCCTCTTCGTCAGTAGGGGTCTGGAATCTAACCCTCAAACCTTTCCTTTAAGATAAGAAAAGCGTATCGCCCTTTCCTCTATCAACTACCATCGGAAACGCGGAAAGAGCCTATCTCTTACTCTTAAATCCAGTAAAGCTTAAGAGAGGTACTGAAAAAAAAGACTAAGTGACCCGAGAAGCCCACCCTTTAGGTCCCTTTTCATAGACGAGAGAATGAGGATTGATTTAGTGCTGAAAGCCTTAAAAGCATCAATACGATTTCAGCTTGCCCCTATACTCTATGAGATAGAAACTTTTGCCATTGAAGGGTCCTCATAGAAGGAAAGAGTGAAAGTCTCATTTTGACACTAGCGAGATACCTACTTTCTAATGGATCTCTCAGTCTATGAAGGAAAAAGTGAGAACGTTAAAATGCCTTTCTAATAGAAAGTTTCTACATGCTATCTGGAGCTATAGGTAGAGGAATTTGATCGATTGGCTTTCAAGCTGAACTATGTAATTAAGAAGTGTAATGCCAAACTGATTAGCTAAGAGAAGCCCTGGAGTAAGGCTTTAGCCTCAGCCTCCTATTGCCCTGACCAAAGTTGCATGAGAATGCTAAAACAATTAAACCGACTCTCTAATGCAGCCACCTACTGCACTATTTAAGTCAATAGCAGAACCATCCACATTTAGTTTAAGGCCTGTAATATGAGGAATCTGAGCCATTTCCCTCTTTTTGGAATGGCGGGCAGAATGATTATCAAGGCTTGAATGCATGTCTGATCATGAAGACTGAGAGAGCAAGAAGCCTTAAGAGATCTGAGCACCACTTCAAAACACTTAGGATCATTTTTGTTTTTCTTTGAAGGATCTTCACACAGGGAAAGAGCTCCTAAGTGCTAAGTCCGACAGTGCTCTCCACCCTGGATAAAGGTCTATGAGGTGTGGGATGTCTTCCCTTCCTGAGTTAGTGCCAAAAGAATAGTAAGCAATGATCATGTTGCCAGCATGCTATGCGACTAGTCGATTATCTTACTAAGCTAAGAACTGGATCTCCATCCAAGAAAGTCAATAGATATTTTTTATGGCTTTCAGTGCCTCTAGCACGAGATCATCGAACTGCACTTGAATTAAGAGGTTCACTTCACTGCTGGTATGCTTTAGGACTCTTCACTGAATGACGACTGACTAGCGGATTCAGGGAACGAAGATGGCCCTCTACCTACATCTATACTGGACTCCTGACTGTTAAGAAACTTTTTCTTTTTTCGATTTTGAGTTCTTTTTAGAAGAGAGAAAGAGTATAAAACAAAGGGTACGCTCTCTAGAAGATTTGCTCGGAGCTGTTCACTTTCACTCGGTCGACTGGTATCTTGAAACCTCTTCGCTTGCGGGGGCAGGAGTGGAAACGTCTGAGAGAGCACTTCGCAAAAGAATCGTGTGGCGCGGTGAAGGGTTCCCGTTGGGGTTTCCGGCTCTCCTGGTCTCCACCTACTTGTGGAAGAGGGGGTGAGTTGATATTAAGGTGTCAAGGCGCTCGAAGAAGGCCACAAGTGGAAGCAACCGATGCTTTGGTCATTCAGTTGACTCCTTGCTGCCAGTCCGTGCTTGCTGTCATGCTGGCAAAAGCGGGGCTTTCGGTCGGTTTTACCTACTATTGGATTTGAACCAATGACTCTCGCCGTATGAAAGCGATACTCTAACCGCTGAGTCAAGTAGGTCAAGCTGAGTCAAGTCAGAGAAAATAGACCCCTATAAGTATAAGAGAAAGCCGCGCAACCAAAGTTCCCCTTACTATACAAGGGGGGGCGGAGCGCTAAGAAAGAGAAAGCGTTATCACTATACGAAATGAAGCAGCGGCTAGCACGCTAAGCTAAGATCAACCACTTGGAGAACGCGGAGCCTTTCTTTCTCGGTCGTCTGTCTTAAGAAGTTAAGCGGATTCCGATTCATGTGGTCGTTCTCTGCTGCATTGGTGTTTTCACTCCCCACTCTCCACCAGAACAAAATGTTTCCACTATATCTCAGGAGTAGTCAAAGGAAGTACGGCGGGTCCGAGTAGGAAAAAATGAACTAAGAAGTAGGGCATAGAACAATGGATCAATTCATTCAACAAGATCCGTTCGGATCAGACCAGGATGAATGGGATTGGTTTGACCTCTCGCTCGGAATTCACCCGCCGCCGACAGATGTCCCATGCCACGTTTCGTGAACAGCTATGCCCGAGAATGAATGAATTGTGATATAGCGCCGAATAAGTCACAGCTCTATTCCCGACTTGAAATCCATAAAGGACTTTAAGGGAGAGAAAATGGGGGGCCCTAAAATGCCTCGGGACGACTGCACGTTACATCATAGCAGCACGACCAAATGGAGGCGGAAAGCCGGTTGGGCGCTAGCGCTTTATATTATACTAATATAATATGAATTCAATTAAGTTAAGGGCTTTTCCCTTATTAGTAAAGTTACTCGAGGCCAGAAAATGAGAATACAATCTAGAAGATCTGGTCGAATGGTAGAAGAATCTATGGATTCGTTAGGAATCGATAGTCGTTGGCTGGACATACGAGTCACAACCGGCCGGGAAGAGGAGGGATCAACGACGGAGCTACTAGCTACTAGTTGTAAAGGAAAGGACAAGACCACCTTTCGTACATTTCTACTGGTCCAGACATTCGAATAGCGAACGAAAGACCAGGAGATTGGATCTAGAAAGCACTTCCAGCAGGGTTGACGGCTGTGTGGTCCTCATTCAGCTGGAAGTAGGAAAGAAATCCCGGCACGACCGATGACTTAGTCTCCTTCTCCGCTTCGACTCAACCACCTACCTAACCTCTTAGAAAAGATCCGATAGATAGCAGCTACCTAACTTTTAAGCCCTTCACCAATCAAGGTCTTTCATCTAGTAAGTCCTAGTACTATGTTCTCCAAGCTTGACTAATAGAGTAGGCAGGCCCTTTAGAGAGCAGTAGAATGTTGGGTTAGCTCTGCCTTTAAGTGATAGGGGGTGAGGGGAACTGCTCAGAAATGTCTTAGTTGGTTGAGGAGTGACCGATCCGGTCAGTCAAAAAATAGTAAAAAAAAAGAAAGTCTGTCTGGTCTGGTGTAGCTAATGTGACTTTCTCGATCTATAGTTCTTCTTCTTTCTCTCTCTTGACCAATGCTCTGGCTTCCCTCACTCAAAAATCAGCCATTGTGACACAGGTGTCTCGAGGTAGGCCGTGGATTGAATAGAGAAAGAAGGGCTAGAAGAGCATCCATAGGAAGAAGAGGACGGAAGAGTAGTGCATCCGTGTCTACTCACTCCGGTGGGATTCCAAGATGAAAAGGGATCAATCCAATTACAGCTGTCAGCTAGATAGACGAAACGAGGGCATATCCAGACGTTTCAGTGGTTTCCATTTCGATGGTGACATTAAATCCTTTACCATCTTAGTAGAATCTTAACTCAACTCGGGGAGAAGAATCCACTCCCTGAGAAAGAGGAAGTGCTTGCGCCTTAGGATCTTGCGCTAAGGCTTGAACTTGCTATAGTGAAAGTATCCTCATGGGCCAAACAAAAAGAGGTATCCTCATGGGCCAAACAAAAAGAGGTTGAGCCCCAACGTCAAATTAATGCATTGATTCAAGGGGTACCCGTGCAAACATCGTCTATCTCTCTGGTCAAGTGGCTCCACTCTTAGGGAGAGAATCTACGGATTCTGTGAAAGGGCTTCCCTATCTATGATTGAGCTCTCGCTCTTACTCTTTCTATCAGTCGTGTTTTTTCTTTTCTCTCTGACCGTCAACTTGCTTGATTTACTAACCTCGTGTTCTCATCCACTTTAAGGTCAGGTCGAAGCAAAGCGTTTTCCTTCCTCTTCCTATCGGAAAACAAGAACCCGCCAGCTAACTTCTCTCTAGTGGGCTTCACTTATACGTTATCCTTCCTGGCCTTACCTCGACTCTACTCTCCAAGCTAACTGCTCTACGCTCGCCTGACATATCGGTCTGAAGTTTCTTTGATCACTTAGGACAGACAATCTTTCTAAAAAAGAAAAATCTCGTAATATAGTTCAAGAAAGTGGCTGTGACGTGAATTGCATTGTGCTCATCAACGTGTAAGCTCCACCATGCTGAATGAGAGAATGACATTCCCTTTCAATTGAGATATTGCGTATGATAAGAGAGATAAAGGTTCCTTTTTTTCCGGTATGCTGCTCCGCGAGCAAGGAGCGATAGAAGCTAGTATTCTGTAATGAATAACAAGAGTCTGGCACTATAGGGGAATCCAACACCTAGTGATTTACATTTTACACCTTATCTTCTAGACTTTCGGTGGAAAAACCAGCCGAGTCTTCCAGCAGGAGTTCCACGCCTTTTTAACCTGCATAAAAAAAAGGAAGTCTTGCGCCGGGTATGATCCCGGTGTCGAGCAGAGCAGAGAGAATTAAAAAATTTGAATGAGAAATCATTTTCAAATGAGACTCTATGGTAGTCCTACGCCAAGTGATCTAGAATTTATGGTAGATGAGGGTTTTTCTTTATCTTCAGGTGGTACCTCTACTACTCTTTCTTCAACTAGGTCGGACGCACAAAGCGCTCCACCTGAGTTAGAGCGGTTATTTGAGAGAATCTGCAATGAATACGCGGAGTGGGTGGTGATAGCCGATAAGCAATTACCCCCCGAATGGGACATGCCTGACCTTGTTCGGGCAGTGATAGGGGAGGAAGCGCTAGCCACCCCAAGCTATATGAGCGATGCCTATTATGATGTAATGTTACATGGACAAAATAGTTGGTTATGCCAATCAATTTTGAAGTTTCTTGATCTAATCAACTATGTCTTCTAGTCTGTTTGGAAGGAGAACTCATTTTCATTTCATCTTGTGACTCATTCTCTTCGATCTTCTCTTTGATTGCTTTTGAAAACGTCTTTTTAACTGAACTACAATGGTCTGATTCTTTTGAAGAAGATATGTAGGCAATTCGGCGTATACCCGGATGCGACCCCATCCACTCCCTCCATCCATGGATAAGGATAAAACAGCATCTTTCACTGTTTCGTTGGAAAAACCAACGCTCATATTGACTTTCTTTCGCCCTACTCTAAGGGTACTTTAAAGATTTTGATATCTTTTTTTTATATTATATAAAGGCCCCAGAACGCTAAAAGGTGAGGGAACCAGAGTTCTCTTTCTAAAAAAAAAAAGAAATGACTATAAGGAACCAACGATTATCGATTCTTAAACAACCTATATTCTCCACACTTAATCAGCATTTGATAGATTATCCAACCCCGAGCAATCTTAGTTATTGGTGGGGGTTCGGTCCGTTAGCTGGTATTTGTTTAGTCATTCAGATAGTGACTGGCGTTTTTTTAGCTATGCATTACACACCTCATGTGGATCTAGCTTTCAACAGCGTAGAACACATTATGAGAGATGTTGAAGGGGGCTGGTTGCTCCGTTATATGCATGCTAATGGGGCAAGTATGTTTCTCATTGTGGTTCACCTTCATATTTTTCGTGGTCTATATCATGCGAGTTATAGCAGTCCTAGGGAATTTGTTCGGTGTCTCGGAGTTGTAATCTTCCTATTAATGATTGTGACAGCTTTTATAGGATACGTACCGCCTTGGGGTCAGATGAGCTTTTGGGGGGCTACAGTAATTACAAGCTTAGCTAGCGCCATACCCGTAGTAGGAGATACCATAGTGACTTGGCTTTGGGGTGGTTTCTCCGTGGACAATGCCACCTTAAATCGTTTTTTTAGTCTTCATCATTTACTCCCCTTTCTTTTAGTAGGCGCCAGTCTTCTTCATCTGGCCGCATTGCATCAATATGGATCAAATAATCCATTGGGTGTACATTCAGAGATGGATAAAATTGCTTCTTACCCTTATTTTTATGTAAAGGATCTAGTAGGTTGGGTAGCTTTTGCTATCTTTTCTTCCATTTTTATTTTTTATGCTCCTAATGTTTTGGGGCATCCCGACAATTATATACCTGCTAATCCGATGCCCACCCCGCCTCATATTGTACCGGAATGGTATTTCCTACCGATCCATGCCATTCTTCGTAGTATACCTGACAAAGCGGGAGGTGTAGCCGCAATAGCACCAGTTTTTATATGTCTGTTGGCTTTACCTTTTTTTAAAAGTATGTATGTACGTAGTTCAAGTTTTCGCCCGATTCACCAAGGAATATTTTGGTTGCTTTTGGCGGATCGCTTACTACTAGGTTGGATCGGATGTCAACCTGTGGAGGCACCATTTGTGACTATTGGACAAATTTCCCCTTTTGTTTTCTTCTTGTTCTTTGCCATAACGCCCATTCTGGGACGAGTTGGAAGAGGAATTCCTAATTCTTACACGGATGAGACTGCCTGAAAAGTGAGAAATTCTGACACCCATCATTTTCGAGTGAGTATTACACCAAGAATTGACAAGCCTTTAGTTGTACGTTTTCTATTTCTTACGTGACTTTGATGAAAGAAAGCATTCCGGGAACAGGAATAAGAGTAAAGGCCTTCCTTGTCATTGTAGTAGGCTTGTTTGCAAGAGAGAAGAAGCAGCTTCAACGATGCAATCAGACCTGTGAGAGTAAGCATGAGAAGCCAGTCTGTCTGCAATTGAGTTGCCTTGTCTATAGATGTGAGAAACCATCATGCCAGAAGACAATAAGCTGATGCATTCTCTGATCAAGTAAAGCACATGTCAAGGGGTGGATATAAGACCAAGGATGGAGTCCACCATAACTTTGGAATCAGATTCGATGTCATTCACTTGGATGCCCTTATCAGAACATAGTTTGAACCCATCTCTGAGAGCTCTAGTCTCAGCCATCATGTTAGTACCATTGTGATAGAATGAAGAGAAGGAAAAAATAAAAAATTTGACCTGAACTCTTTCTCAGGATACCACCACCTGCACTCTCTCCCATAGTAGCTGATCCATCTATGTTGAGTTTGGTACATTTTGGGGGAGGAGGATTTGATCCATATCCCGCTTTTATTTCCCTTCGGGCTCCTTATTCCGAGGCTGTTCTTTATCACGGCTCTTCTGAGGCTTTCCAACCAACCCTGTTGACTCGGAGTATTCAACCCCCCATTCGCCTAGCCATCAGATTCCTCCGCTGCCATCTTCGCTTTTGGCTCCTTGTCATTTGATCTGGGGGAATCAACCTCGAAGAAGGGAGCCTAGGAGCGTAGTTTGGCCTGTGTTCAAAATTAAATGCTCAAATTCCAGCTTCAAGCGTTCTGCAGCTCATAATCATATTATGGAAAAGGAGGCGTGGGAAAACGGCACCAATTCTGTCCAATAACATCAAAAACCTCATTTTTTTAGTCCTCCGGCCTTCGCAAACAAACAGTCCGGCCAACCCAAGTAATCCCCCATAACATCAATCAGTACCGCAAAAGGCTAAAAATCTGACTAAGTCTCCAGCAGCTGCGGAGCGGGGGATAAAGGAACAGCAGGATTACAACATTGCACAGGATCAATCAGAATGCGGGAGCGCAGAGCCTTTAAGAGATAGGGGGTGCGGGAGCATAATACTTAATACTAAGGATTCCCCGCGGTTTTTCATGCAGATTTGACCACGGTGTGCACCCCCCTTAACTTAACCCCTATTACGTAAGGGGGACCTTCGGCGGGATAAAAGAGAGTGCGGGAAAAGCAGCTACAGATACAGGACAAAAGAAGGAGTGGCGCACTTAAAGAGTAAAAAAATCCATCGTAGCGCAAAAGAGCATCCCGCAGAAAGAGGATCCCGCGGAAAGTTTCCACTTTTCTGTCCAGCTGCAAAATGGAATGGAATAGTCTAAGATGCTTAATAGCTCCAACAAGCGCGAAAGCCGTTGCTTCTTGCTTTCGAGCCCAAGCCTACGTTTGCTTAGTAAGGTTGCTTCTTTTTATATCTCCTCAAAAAAATAAAGGCGAAAGGTTGCTTGCTTTACTTTGAGAAAGAAGTAGAAAGAAGGTATTATATAATAAATAAAAGTAAAAGCGCTAACGCGCTTTTTTTTTCAATAAGGGGCGGGAAGAAGCGAGCCTCTCAGAGAAAAAAGTGCTAGTTGTAGCGCGCTAGCGCGCATTTGACTAAAAACATGGAAAGTAAAGGCTCTGGGCAACGAGTGGGGGGGGAGCCTTGACTTGAAGCATTGTACAAGTGCTTAAGGCTCCTTCGGGCCATGGCCACAACTATCATATAAGGCAAGGCTTGGAAGCAAGCTACCTGCGCCTATCGGCGGGAACTGGGCTTGGCTTTGTTAGTAGTGCCCGCCCATTCTGTCTCGCCCGCCTGCCGACCCATGAATTCTTCAGAGCTGGCCGGCAGGCCGGGCGTACGGGAACCGTCGAAGAAGTGCCTTAACGCGCCGCAGCCACTACTTTACTTTGACTCCTTTTATGCAATTATGAACTCCACGTAACTTTCTCGATTCCAAGGCAACTTATCCTTTTTGAGCTGACGTAACAAACTACGCGATCCTCCCAACGAAGCCAACATAAATCCGATCCGAATAAAAAAAATAAAAGGCAGTTTCATTATGGTAGTATACCAGCCACCTGTTCTGGAACTGGAAGTTCCAATCGGAGCATATAGATCCGTAAATGGATTTGTATGTATAGCCACTTCAGTCGTGTTCGTCGTTTCTTGAAAGTATCTTTTTTCTGGGAACATGGTCAACCAGAAATTCTTATGTTCGCGATTCTTCATCCACCGATGCAGAAAATGCTCCAGTTTTCCATTCTCATATGAGGCCGGAAAGTTTATTGGCAACAGGTCGACACGAAGTGATTCATCATCCTCAAACATGAGCCGATCGTTAGTTAGGGACGGTTTATAGATCAGAAAATTCCCACAAATTGAATGAGAAGTGGGTCCATGTAAATAATCGAGACCTTGCAAACAACAACGCTCCTTCCCCATATGGAGTTCGGAACCCAAAGGCAATCGTTGAGTGAACTGTATCTTCTTTGTGTTAGTTAACCTAAGCCGCACCCTTACTGCTGGGGTGGGGCTCGGCCTCCGAACCGTACGTGGGACGAGTTTCTGCCTCATATAGCTCGGGCCGAAACCCGGGGGAAGTTTAGGAGAGATGGAGAGAGCCAGCAGCTGACAGTCGGGGCGGGGATAAGCTTCCTTCTTCACAAGCTTCTCCCTCCCAAAAAAACCGAACCGATAGCGCTTCCTGTTTTTTCTATTCCATCCCATTCCATTCCGGGACAGGCGGCTAATACTAATCTAATAAGTGAAGTAGTCGTCGTCTGACCAATCGGCTCGGACACCAGACCGCCCGTGCCCGCCCATTTTGTCTCGCCCTAAATGGAATCCCTTAGTTACGCTGCGCCCCGACCCGAGTCCCCACGTCCGCTTTTCACCGCCCGAAACCCAAGAAGTTGGCTTTGCCAACACAACATTAGGGCCGTCCCCTTCATTCTATACTGACCCCGGCCCGGGCTGGCTTTTTGGGAAGCCCGTCCCCACCGTGCTCACGGCCCGGCTGGCTTGCCAGCGGTAGTGGGAATTATCCCGTTCCCTGGTCAAAGACTTGGTTGGATGCGGGATCTACTCCACGAGGAGCGGTACGTACGTAGATGATATCATCACGACCTCTCTTTTCGTACCGCTAGGGATGCTTAACGCCACTTCGCCAACTGGCGTTACCTGCGCTTTCGTGTCTCTCAGTGTGGTCAGCACTGGGTGTTTCCGAGCAGCGAGGCTTACACCCATTCGCATTAGTTCATCCAAAGTTCCTTACCCTTATGCACGAATTATTGAATAAGCCATCTTCCTATCAAGGTTAAGGAGTCAACTGAGCATCTCAGCGGCGGGATTGAATACCCGGATCGAATCAGAGTTCACGCCGCCCGCCCTGAACAAATAGGAGGCGTGGGCCACAGGTCGCACATAAGCCGCCGGGTCGCACGACAGAAGAACACCCAACATAAAGATGCACACTCCTCCATGTGAAATATTCATCTTCATTGGGGCTTTTTTGTAGTAGTCGTGACCAACAGCCATCAGCTGTCGGTTCGTTGGTAAGGTGAGAGCTTCAAGCCCGATTTCTGGTGGCGCACCCCCCACACAAGCACCGCCCGACTCAGTGGGGACGGGTAAAGCTACAGGCCCAAAAACTTCGGCCCTTCTTTCTAAATGGGGGTGCCCAGGGCGCCTCATCTTGTCATTTCGTCCTTGCTCATTCCCGTTAGGCTGAAGTCTTTGGCCTTTCCTTCTCCGCGCCCGCTCACGCTTCGCTGACCTATCGCGTGGTAAAGAGAAGAAAGTACGAAAGAATAGTAAACGGAGCACACCGCAGAAAGATTCTAAATATGAGAAATCCCCCTTTTTTTCGATAAGAAGGAAATGACGAACAGGAACGAAACGAAATAAGGCCTTTCTAGCTCTAGTTTCGGATGAGCTTCCCCCAATTATGTCTGGTAATAGAATAGGTCGGCTTGCTCTGACCAAGACTCCGCTTTTTGCTCCGTCCGTGGAGCGTATGAATTTCCTGGAATGTAGATAGACCAAAAGAGGGAATGAAGGGATAGGAATAGGAATTATAGTACCATTAGAAGAAGGGGCACCTGTGGGAACATCTCTACTGACGAACCATTTCAATAGTACGGGTGCTGCCGTGCCACGAGGCACGACCATGGAAGTAATGAAAAAGAAAAAGTTTTGTAGTTGGACCATCTGTTCTATCCGTTCGAGTTTTGCTTCTATAGAGAAGATGAGACGCTAAAAATGAAAGTGTTCGCAACGCATACCGAAAGGGTACCAATGAAGCCGACCATTAATGACTAGTTCGAAGACCAAGAGCGGTCTGATCCAAAAGAAAGTGTGACCTTTAAGGTAGGGGTAATCCGAACTTGAGGCGGAATCCCTCATCGGTAAAGTGGGAGTAGAATTCACGGTATATTTGTGAATTTCTACCGCTTTGGTTTATATCCTGAATAAAGAAATTCAGACTCCCGTCCATGATATCCCGTTGGAAGGAATGTTGCAAAGAGCTCACCGGCTCCACCTTACCCTCAAGGAAGTCGTACGCCTCCGCCCTTATATTCGTATATGGCGAAAGTTCCATGATACGATAAATCTTTTGCTCACCAAACATAAGATCGAAGAGCCTATCTTGCAATAGACCCTTTCTTTCTAATACTGTGAGTTCAAAATATTCTCTATCAAGTATGGCCCTATAATGGGGCACATCAATAGCTTGCTCGAAGTTATTGTGAACAAGCCCCTCATACTCCCCGGGATTATTCTGGGAGGAAGGTTGTAGTAATCACGGCTCTGGAGACTCCGTATGCGAGCATAAATCTCAGCTTCGTTATCGGCCGCTATTTCGGCTCTAAACGTAGCCAATGATTCACTGCTCGAGGAAGACTCCAAAGCCGGAAGACTACTTTCATTTCCACTTTCGGAAGATACTTGCCAAATGCAAGCGCTTGTCATTCCTGCCAGCAGAGAAAAACACAAATATCTAGCAAAAGTACAGAATACGTAAATTAGAATGAGAATGACGAAGAAAAGAAAAGAACTCTTCTTGCCTTTGGAAACTCAAATTATATAAACCAGTATTAAAGTGACCAAAAGTAATAATAAAGCGATGACGGTGGAAATTATGGGGCAGCTGTCCGTTCCTATAAAACGTCCGACAAAGAAAGCCGACCCGAACATCGGAAAAAGCGTAAGGAATAAAGTTAGTGGCATCTTGATTCAGTGATGTGACTTCTCCTGCTCCAGTAAATCAGTCTGGAGACTTGCTAATTCAATTCAATTGCCTTGGTTTTTCCAAGAAATACATGGGAAAAATAGGGAGAAAGAAATGGGATTGTGTCAACAGGCCCCTATTCCGACGAAAAACAGCCCCTTTTCTTTTTGTTTAGCCTGTTCCTATCAGATAAATTCTTAAGAGAAGAGGAAAAACCCTCCGACATCAATTTCGAAGTGAATTTCCCCAGTTGAGGCATCTTGATTGAGAATAAAGGATTCCCCCCTAGGGTTTTATTTTCAGGGTGGTAACGCGCTACTACTTATGTTAATTCTACTTACGCTAAATAAAAAAAAGAAATGTAGCTCCCTGTTAGGATCGACAATTGAGAGAAGGGCCCCATTGGAGGATGGGTCCCGAGCGGTTTTGCATTGAGTTTTCTTTTAGTGGGAGTGAGGGAACGGACTCATCGCTCTCCTGCCGTGAGTCCTTAAAGGCGGGAGAGAGGTTGTAATTTTGTGGCCGAAAATACAGGGTCTTCAAGGAAAAGGTTAGGTGTTAGGGCTTTCTCACAGTCTAGGGACTGCCTTGCTTTTCATAGCCCTAGCTACGCTACCGTAACCAGTCGTTAGGCTTCCCATCAGATAGTTCAGTCTGGCGGCGGAGATAGACACTTTGGATTCGGCGAGCTACTCCGCTTTCACATTCAGATTATAGAAAGATGGTTACTACATTGATAGAGGCATACAAGTATTCAGTTATCCCAATAGTAATAGCCCACGGAGCGGTAATTCAGTGATCCTTAACCAATTGCGATTCCGCATCTGATCTTTCCTGGTATTCAAATGGTTTATTGGCGGGCAGAGACTACACAGGGGTAGAGGCCCATGCCAGTAGCACCAGTGCTCGCCCTTGTCTTCATTCACTTTTGAGCTCATCATAGGGTAAATCTCCTTATCGTTGGCAATTCCCATATAAATCGTCGGTATAAAGAGATATTCCACCAACGAACGGGCACATCATTAGAGTAGACCAAAGGAAAGAGGATTGGGATGGATTGTTTAATGCCTCGACCGGATGAGGCTATGGAATGAATAGGGTTTTTCCGTTTAGTCACTCTTAGCCGGTTCCTTAAGTTTCTACCATTGAACGTGTGAATCCTCTAAGATCAAGTATCTATCTCTGGGAGGTCTACCGCATCGCCATATGGTTGGCCTAGACTGGGCTAGACTAATATTAAAGGGAATATAGCCCGTCCTCCGGAACGAAGTCTTCGCGGAAAAAAAGAAGGATAGAATCCCTTCGCGCAATGAATCGTCTCGCGCAACCAAATATCCTCCCTATAGTAGTAGGAAAATAAGACTCGTCATCTCTATGAATAAGAGTCGGAAGTATTGGCAGTCGCCTCCTTGTGCCCGTTGTCTTGCAGACCCTCACGCATTCCCGCCACAAATATCGTAACCGCCCTGAACCTTTACCCTGCTCTTCTCCCTTCTTTCTATAGCATTGTTGAACCCCATGGAACCCTGGCCCCTTTTTCACAGAGCAATTTCATCGGGCTAATCATTTACGCAACTTTTTCTTCGTGGAGTCCTTCGAGTAGCCTGACGCATTGTTGAACCCCAGAGAACCCAACCCTTCTACTACGCAGCAGCAACACAACCGCGCCATCAAAGACGCAGTTGAATAGAAGCTGGGGCTGGAGCAGGCTCAATCTACGATTCTACTTTCCGAGAGAACAGGCGGTTAGTCACCTATATGCGTTGGAAGTCTTCGTCCGCCGAGCTCTGAAACCTGCCTTCCTTGCCTTACCGACTTAAAAAAAGATCTGCCTGCCTCAATACCTGCTGACTTACTGGCCGCGTTACTGAGTTCCTAGGAAGGAGCAATAAAGGGGCTGCCATTAGTTAGCAGCAAGGGATTGGCTTAAAGAATTTGTTGACTTTTTTTAGCCCAGGGCCCTGTAAGCCCTTCTGTCCCGCTTTGAGCCCTCTACCTATCAATCCCTGCTTGAAAATATGCTTCAAACGCCTATTTTCTTTTTTTTTAATACAGAAGTAGTAGTATTCCCGGGTCTCACTGTTCAGATAACTTTCCTTTGAATCCTACTGCATAGGCAAGATCTCACTCTTCGTGCTGGGAGCGGTTTCACGCTGTTCATTACTTCCGCGATGTTGACTATTCTTTATTTAAGGAAGTCAGAATGGCTTACTATACCAGACCAGATTATTTATTTAAGCCTTCCCTCTTTTCGTCGTCTCCACCCCTAGCCGGATTCCGCATACGCATCGGTGCCTGGGTCCGCGGGCCGAAAGCCCCTTCCCACGTCTCTTTCCGTGAGCTGCAGCACTCCAACTTATGGTTCTCTGGTTGCTGCGCTTTCCGGCTTTCTTAGATCTGGCCTCACTCGACTCCGTGCCCCCAGAGGTCGTTATTTCCCCCATTGCCTGCGTTTCCTGGTTTGGTTTATCTGGACTTTAGATCATCTTGTGACCTCTACTTATGCTGCGCGTAAGGCATAAATAAAGATGGCGAGGATTCTGAAACCTTAGCCATAACCCTTCCCCTGTCAACCCTATTAAGATCCCCGCGTGCTGAAAGTAGGGATTTCCTTTCGAAAACCTTTACTTGTAAGCAGCGCGGATCAGTGCGTACTCTACTCTCTCCAAACTGTACTATCCCCAATGACAACAACATATCCGAGAATAGCCTAGTTTCAATGGGTCCACGCCGATTCGGGTCGGCCCGCAATGCCGCCACCACACAATCATATGATGTGTGAGTGAGAAGAGGCTCCAAGAAAGGTAATACCCAACAAGCATGAGCTCCCCCCCCCCTTAAATGAAAGGATTCAATCCAGCCGCGCCCTCGATACGGCTACCTTGTTACGACTCCACATCTGTCTGTGAATCCCAGGGCACTCACCATCCCTTTCAACCGTAGAATTCCTCTACTTAGAAAAAAACAGATCCAAATTCCTTATAGATCGCTGGATTTTACGATATGGGATGTTTGAGAAAGGATCGCTTTGGATCTGGGCTAAGTGCATCCCCCAGCGTTTCTTCCTTGAGTGGAACTCCCTCTTTATAAAATATAAGTTCTCTAATTTCATAGCGATTCGCTAAAATCTCGGTCTCTACTAAAACCCTCGTTAAGTAGGCTATTTCGAGCTTTTCCTCTATGATCGTTATCTGTTCCAACAAATCGTCATAGGCTAGGCTACCTATTTGTTCACTTTTTGCCAAGGAAGTGGTGATTGAGTCGATTTGCCAGCTCTTCGTGCCGCTGTTGGTCGCCCATAAGCGGCTGCTTAACCTCCAGATCCACTGGCGGAGCGCTTCGGGTTGCTACAGGATGTCCCGCAGGCCCTCTTGGTGGGGAACCTCTTCTGCCACGTGAGGCTGGTGAGAAGCCCGGGAAGCACCCAATGCCCGAGGGAGGCGTTTGCCTCCGGAGTGACGAGTGCTCGGCAAGCACAGCCAATCACGAAGGCCAGAGCTGCGGGGCAGCCCATTTTTAAAAACAGTACTAAAACGGCCTTCACTCCGAGGAAGCCGGCCACCCTAGAGACAAAATCAAAAAAGAATGAGTGCGCCCCCATTTGGAGGCAAAGAAGATAAAAAAAAATAAGAAGACTTATGGGAACTAAAAATGGAATGCACGCCCGTCTGGCGCTTAACTGGAACAATAATTTAATTCTTCCGCGCCGCCCCCGCTTAACCGACTTGAATCTGAACTACGATTCAGACCAAGTCTTACCGAATTGGATTTCCTTTTCGTGCCATATGCGCTTATACTTTACTTTTGTCCCTTTTTGATTCCCGGTCCAATATGAGTTCTCGAAGATCTTCGTTCGAAAAGACCAGCTAAGCATCATTGGCTTGGTCAGCCTTTACCTGACCAACTACCTAATACTACGCAGGCTCATCAAACCCAGCTCCCCGAAAACAACGTTGAGCTTGCATGTGTTAAGCATATAGCTAGCTGTCCTTCTGAGCAGGATCAAACTCTTCTTTTGACTATGATTTGGCCCTACATGGTAGAACCTGGTGAACCGGGGCGTACTACTTCTCAACCTTCTGTGAAACTTTTCTTCTCTTATGAGTTTTGCTACTTTGTTTAGTTTAGTGATTGATTCTTAGAGAAGCTGGTAAGTAAAGACAGAGCTTTCGAAGTAATGGTGGCTAGGAATGGCTTCAGTCAGGTCATCGTTCACCTTATGGTCCGACTTGCTTGAATCGAAGAAGAAGAACCCCCGGACTGAAGCCGAGGTTCAGTGCTTTGGTTGGGTGGTCAGGTGAGGCCCTAAGAAATTTGCTTAGAAAAAGAAATGAGATAGGGTGGATGATGATTGGTTACCGGTTAATGATGGCGATGGGTCCTAATCAATGTGATTGGCATAGTTCACTTTTAGCCCCAGCAACATATGCAGTTGCATTTGACCGAGTTGACAGCAGCAGATCCAACCAATCCGTTGACCAAGTGAAGCTGCATAGGCACTAGTCACGACGTCCAACTCGAAGCAGCTACTTCACTTCCCCTGAACAAAGCAGTGGTCCTTCTTCGACCTTCCGTAAGACCACCCCTTCTCCGCACTAAGTTGCTGTGAGTGAAGACTATCATGCCTGTTTCATGAGCAAACTAACTACCTTGTGAGCAAATACCCCTCATAATCACATAACACTGCCTGCCTGTGTGAACAACCACCAGCTTCAACAGCTACGCCTAATCAATTACTGTT